CGCCTCTGTTTCGGACGCTCCGACGACTGCTCCGTGCCACACGATGCCAACCGAAGAGCGCCTTCTCGACATCTTGCAGCTTTCTCCTCGAAAGTACGCAGCACCTCCCGAATCGCCTTCGGCGGTCCGCGTTCGAACTGCTCGCGAGACGGAGGACGCAGTAAAAGCAAGTGCTCCAGGCAGGTCACCCTGGACAACATGATGTAGAGGTGCAGCCAGCAGTGATCCTCGTCCAACTCGGGAAGACGAGCGCAATCCACAATCGTGGGACGCCGCAGAGTCAAGCCCTGGGATGCCGTGCTCGTCAAAAACGAGCCGTGACTCACCTGAAAACAGCATCTGCGCACCTCGAAGCTCTCCGTACTGGAAAATGCCACGGACGTCTGCGCGGCAGGCAAAAAGTACATGCTCCGCGCGAGACGCTCCGCTTCCTCCGCGCCCTTCGCAATGTTGCCCTTCTGGCACACATCCCGGACACCATGCCAACTCGAACACCCATCGAAGTTTTCCAGCGATAGCCACAGTCCGGAAGGCAGATACTTCGGCACGAAGAAATGGCCTGCGTCCGTGCCAGCGTACCTCTCGCGATCCTGCGGATGAAACTCGAAGTCGACGAGAGTGCCAACCGTATCTTGAACCAAACCTTTGTCGCCGTCCACCTTTTGCAGAAACCGAAGCTTCATCCCGATGTGACAGGGCAGCACGCCGTGAGCGTAACCGGTCTTGTAGGGATTCGGTTGGCTCAGAAAGCTCCGCATCTTCTGGCCCTTCAAGCCCTGACACTCGTCCGCGCACTGCAACACCACCAACGGCACACCGTGGCGATGCGCATCGACCTGCACGCGTCGATTCATCATTCGCGTCAAGCTGCTCCAATAGATGGACATGCAATAACCATCCAGAAAGCCCTCCTCATCCAAACGAGGATCGCACTGCCCGAGACCCGCATCCTTGACAAAGCGATCCCGCAGCTTCACACAGAGCTCCTCGGAAAATCGCCGTCCCGTCCGCATGCACTGCAAGATCTCAATGAGAGGATCTCCAGGTCGAAAGCGTTTCGTGCCCCTGAGCTCGAAGACGTCCGGCACCGCTTGAAAAACAAGCTGGGCGTTCTGAATCTCCACGCCCACGTCCCGGTGAACATACTGCCCGTACTCGTCTTTACGCTTTAGATCGTCGATCAAAGAGATCTGACCCGTGGGCTTCAATTGCAGAAAGTCTCCCAAGTGCAGCACGATGGGCACTCGCCCAAAAGCACACAACCGACCCGAGTGTACGTGTGCGAACTCACTCCGAAAACCGCAGCGCGACCAAGCATAGACCGATAATCCAGCATGTTGTACATCGCAGCAGAAACCATGCTGATCTCCTCCAGAATCAGAACGCGACATTCCTCCCAGAGATCACGCAGGCGGTCTATCTTCTGCCCAGCGCCCATCTGGCTGTTCACCAACTTCTGAACCCGCATGGCACTCGCCGTATGCAAAGTCTTGGCCTTCACTTCCGAAGTCGAGATGTTCTTGGCCTGCGATTTTTTCGCAGCCACCACTTGAATGGTCTCGCGGTTTTTCCTCGGTGGCCAGATGAACAACACGATGGGAAAAATCAACTTCTGCACCATGTGGGTCTTCCCTGATCCGCCCTGGCCCAACAACAGCATATGATAGGTCTTGCGCTCTTTTGGCCAGATCTCCGCATTCTCCTCGGCGACACATGAACAGCTCGAAAGCACGACACGTTCACGACAACAAACAAGCATAGCACCAATCCTACAGCCGTGGTCCTCCTGCGCGAAAACTTTGTCCAACACATCCGCAAACCTGGAAATGAACAGCGCCTGATCCTCATTCAATCGTTGCTCCTCGGGCAAGCCATCCACCATCGCCTGCGTTCGTATGCCCCAGACATCACAAAACACGTTTTGCAACTACTCGACCGGCTACCACCATCCCCCGACCTTCATCAACAGGGAAGGCTTCGAAAAAACCCTCCGGACGCTCTCGTCAAAGCCAACGCAATTCGCCGGCAGCTTGTCGCCGACAAGCTCGCGGATGTACGTGATGGCAGAAGCATTTGCAGCAGTATCGGGGCCCGCTGCCACCTCCGACCCATCTCTGATGCCACTCAACAATTCCTCCCGCATCTCTTGGTACGCCGCGGCCAACTCGCGACCCAGCTTCTGAGCAGCACTGTGCAACGCTGCTGGCGCTTTGTCAAGAACAACGGAGAGATCCCGCTGCATCCACGACAACTCCAAGAAATCCTTAGTGTGTCGAGTCTTCCGACTCTGGCCATCGAGCGAGAGTAGCTTCCTCACCTCATCATCGCCCTGGGGTCGTTGCAACACCAGCTGAAATTGCTCCCTGGGAATCGGAGTAGCGACCACGTCGGGACACTCGTCCTCTGCATCCACCTCCCCCGCGTCGCCAGCGTTCTCCCCCTCCATCCTCACTCGCACGAAATCCTCCTGCAGCTGCATGTCCAGCTCCCGACGACGCTTCGGCCTCGGCCTCTGCTGTCGCGCTCTTGCCAGGCCTTCCAAGTTTGCCACTCGCTCCACTGCCAGCATGCTCGAATACTGTCCAACGCTGACACGTTCTTTGTCCTTGTCCGGGTCGCTCGCAAGAGACTGCGACACATCCACGTTCATGGCGTCCATCTTTTCCACGAGAACATCTCGCATTTCCCGCGTCTCCCAAAGAGACGGGAATTCGAACCTGGCGCGCAACCCGACATCCACACGTACTGACAGAAGAACAAACGCTCAATCGAGCCCAGAACTAAACTCGCCCGTGTACGACTCCACCCAAGAGACCTGGCGGCAAATCGCCTGCGAGCAATCACGGCTTCTTCCGCAGCTTCCTGATGCCAAGCCAGAAACGCCGAGGTGAAAGCCATGCTCGCGGCAATCGAAGGCTCCGCAGAAGTCGCGTCCACCGGTGCAGAGAAAACGTCGAACGCTTTGAGCACGGCCCCCTCTGTGTCATCTCCCTCATAGTGCAGAACTCGGAACGGCCTACACTGCAACTGCTTGTACATGGCGTTCCGCTCGCTGTCCATGGTCAGAGTCGGCATCGTGAATCCTTCGAACATGGGCACTCGCGGTTCTGAAGAAATGCGCTGGCAGTGCGACGCGCTGAGCTTGTATTTTTCCGCGAAGAACACGTCCACGTGCCGCGGCAATGCGGCCCGCACCGAGTTGCCGACTAACGTCGGAGGCAACTCCACGCGATAGACCCACATGCCGTAAGTCGACCAGCTCATGTCTCTCACCAAAGGATGATCCCCGCGGAACAAGTAATCCTCCAAACTGCTGGTAGCCACCACCAAACCATTCTTCCCGTACGAGCGACATGCCGACACGGCTGCATCCTCCCCCGTTGCCTGCAATGCTTGCAGATTCGAATCACACGCCTCGGCACCCGGGTCCTCCGACACTCGCTCCTTCACCGCGTGCTGCTGAAGCAGCGCCTGCATGAAGGTGAGTTTGTGCTGTGCATCCTTGCAGCAGCTCGCGGCGGCCTGATCCTCGTCGAATGCCGCCTCGACGCTGCGACACACCTGTCCAGCCGGTCCAACGTACAGGTGAGTCTCTTCCCCGGTGAGCTCATCCTCCCGAACAACCTTCCGCCAGCCTCGCAGCACAACCTCGTCCAAACCTTCACGCTGATAGACAACCGGCTCCGAGTCAGGCCGAGGCTCACAGCGAAGCACGCTGGGACCGTAGCGTCGCTTCCAGGCCTCCACGCAGAAATAGATGGCCTTTTTCGTGTACAACTTCCATGTCCGATGACTGGCGAACGTAAGATGCTCGAAGAGAAGTGGAAAAACCACCTCCGCCACACTCTTCCAGTGACAACGGCGATAAGAGGAACTCAGCCGCGACAACGTCTTCCTGGTTTCGCGAAACAACTTGCCACGGCCATTTTTCAGAACGACGCCCTCCTCCGCGGCCACACGACGAGCCTCCGCCGCCTCCTGCTCGCGCACTGCCCGTTCCGACTCCAAGCGTTCGATGCCTGACCATTCCATCCTCTCTCTCTCTCTCTCTCTCTCTCTCTCTCTCTCTCTCTCTCTCTCTCTCTCTCTCTCTCTCTCTCGCTCTCTCTCGCTCTCTCTCGCTCTCTCTCGCTCTCTCTCGCTCTCGCCCGCTCTGTGTACGAACCGCCGCCAACCTCGACGAAGCTCTTCCAACATGCCAGCCAGGCTGGGATTCGCTTTCGTCGTGTAGGTGTTAATGTAAAACCCACTGTTCGCGCCATCGGAAAAAGCTTCGCTCACGCCACAGCGTATAGCCTTCACCAAGTCTTCGGCCTTCGTGCTGGTCCTAAAAACAGTGTCGTCCGACAGTTGCCACGGCCCATCGTCAGCAGCAGGTTTCTCCCCGTCCTCGATCGCCCCCGCCCACAGCGAGCAGTCGGCGACCGCCCGGCCGGCGGAAGCAACCCACAGCGAGACGTCATCCGCCGACGGGTCTCGGAGAAATCCGCCGACGGCTCCGCCTCATCGAACAGACCGTGAGCTCGACGCCACTGCCATCTGAAACGATTCGCGGACTCCCGCCAATCGAGCCAGGATACCGGCTCGGCGCCGAGCGCAACTCGCTCTTCATACGTCTCACCATTCCACTCGTATCGGGCCATGTATCCGAGATTGTCGATTGCACCCACATGCGGCAACACTTCACCTACCCCGAGCCAAAGTTCGGGATCCAGCACCCGACGCAAGTCTTGCACGTCCAAATTCTGTCGACCACTGACCAAGCCACCGTAGCTGGTCTGCACCTCGAAGGGCCCCAGTTGTATCGGACGCAAACGTCCCTGCATACCATGGGCCGCTTCCACCATGCTGGCCACGTGAAGCGCAGGCCGCAGGGCCTTGCCCTTCCGCCGGCATTTGCACCCATCGCATATCGACACGACGTGATAGAAGCTGTGCCTGCAAATCTTCCAGCTCACGGAACTCTTGTCCGAATACTTGTAGCAAGAATCGCTACATTGATGTTTGAGCAGAGCCGGAGCCAGATTATGCAGGTCCTGGAGAAAATGCGCCTGCCACTGCCGAGCATCCTCCTCCGGCTTGGCGCTGTCACAAAGAAGTCCCCAGCAACGGTACTTGGGCGTCTGAGCCACGGCGAAACGATTGACGGCAGTGCCATAAATAGACTCCCGAGAGACGGCCACCTCCCGCTGCACGCAAGCCCTTTGCCAGTCTGCGCCCGAGGCAGCGTCCAGGAAGGCCTGCTGCTCTTCGGTTCGATTTGACAGCTCGCGTAACAGGTCCAGGTCGGAACCTCCATCGTACTTGCTCAAGCTGGAAGCCACCTCGCTGACGGGCAACGGCGAACCCATGCACGGCTCGCCCAGCATCCTCGGAGCAGCCTGGAAACATTCGTGACTACACAACACCAGGGCAGAATGAACCGTGAGTGCATCAATCACGGCTATACACTACCGCATAAGAACGCCTGCACCGAAGCATGGCTGATGGACTCGAAACTGGCCACGGCCATGTGCATGAAAGTTCGGAGGCACTCCTGCAGATGAGCTCTGTGATTCCGAAGCCGTTCAGCCAGATCTTGCAATACCTCAGGGAGCCGGACATCCGATCCAACGCGCCCACCCACGTATGCGAGCCCACGACCCCGCGCGACAACCCTCCTCGCCATTCCCATCCCAGACCCTGCCTGAAGATGCCGACAGACCAGCCAAACCAGGATGTGTGGATGCAGAGAGCCCCGGCCCTGCGCCTCGATCTCACCCCGGAACGCCAGCACCGGGCCAAGCATGCCCGCACCTGTCGATGCAGCGGCCGCCCCGTCCTGACACCATTCTCGCGCCGCTCCACGCGGACGCGACCTCCGACAATCCACTGTCTCCGGCCGCACGTTGAGCACGTGCTGGAAAAACAATCGCATCAGCAGCTCGAACTGAAGAGTCTGACCGACCGGATCCGCAGCCAGACGTCGCAGCATCTCACGATACGCAGGCAAATCCCGCTCCATCTCCGGAGTCACCTCTCCCAAACCTAGAGGACGAAATGTCTCTTATAATTCCCCGAAAGGTAACTAGTGAAAATGTGCGGCGCTGAATGTTTCTTAATTTCCTCTAGTACGACCGAACATATATGACATTTTGGAATGCACTTTATTTTCCTTATTGATGACTCATGGACTGCGAAAACACGAAATGTCCTTTATTTTCCATCAATATATATATATATATATATACATATATATATATATAGGCATTAGTATACATATTTGGCATGACTTGACTTGCTTTGGCATGGCATGACTTGCTTGGCATGACTTGACTTGCTTTGGCATGGCATGACTTGCTTGCTGCTACTACTACTACTACTACTACTACTACTACTACTACTACTACTACTATTATACTATGTATTTTTGACATGGTTTGACTTGCTTGGCATGGCCTGCAGGGTTTGTTGTGAGTGATGTAGGGAGGATGCGTATGGACTCAGCAAGTGTCTGCTACAGCTACCCGGCTCACCAGCTAATCCTGCCACTTTAAAAGCCATGGACCAAGACGGGCAGGAGCAGGCTCCGGAGCAGAGAAAATGGTATTGGGTGTGGGACGGTTCATGGACTCAGCGATGGCACAGTCTGTGGCGCTCATTGGAGTTATCCAGAGAAGAAGCACAGAAGCAGGAAGCCCAAGCTGGTGAAACCCAGACACCCATGGACACCAGTGAGCCAAGCCAGCGGAAGCGGAAAAGAGCAGATTCCCCAAGGGAGCAGCTTCGCTAAGGGTAGCCAATTACATGCATGACGAACACCATTTTCCAGCCAGCTGGACAAATGGTTGAGAGCAGATGCCATGAGGAAAATGATGCATGACTGCTGTATGCACATATACAGCAATGGATAGATGCTTTGCACGGTTTCACCATGTTGGGCTCAAAGCTGTGAGAAGAAACCTGGAACCTTCAACCTTAAACCCTACATCAGGGGTCCCTGTGTGCTAGTGTCTGCAGTACTAGGTTCTTTCTACCGAGTGCTGTGCTTGCCCTGCTTGAGTGTTGTGCTGGGACATGGCTCTCCAGCGGCATGCCGAAGCGCCGGCTTGCTATCAAGGACGTGTTTGACAGTGCCCCGCTGTGTGTATGTCTTGCAGAGATTTGCATTGCAGCAGCAAGATCGCGACTCGATCCTGGCTCCTCTGCATCATCTAGGTCCAAGCATGTTAGCTCCCTTTGAGATCTTGCAGGGGTCTATATGTAAAGCTGGAAGGCAGCGACAGGGTGCATAGTGCATGTTGGCATGTAATTTCGTATCCTGTACACAGGCTTTCGGAGTGCAATGGCATTGCTCAAGGCCAACTCGGCCTGTAAGATGGCCTCGAATATGGGTCAGGGGGAGCATTCGGTCCTTGTGGGCCTGCTGTACAACAGCTACAAGCAGGAACTGCCCTTCTTCCGCCAGGCCTGGTTGTATGGATCACTATATACCATTACTAGCTACCACTACTGGCAGCACTACCACCGCCCAGGCGGGCTTTCAGGTGGTGAGCGACAGATCCGGCAAACTCTTGAAGTGCAAGGATCACTGCTCCAGAAAGGACGTCAAAGCAAATCCCCGGGTGGATTGGGCAATATTAAGTCAAGAAAGTGTAGGAACCTACATGCATAATGGGAAAGCACTTAGTGGATCCCCGCCTAGGTCGCAGTGGCCACTCTTCGTGGTTATGGCATGCAGGAACAGGGTGCAGATTTTAGATCTCGTATGTCAGCTTTCGTTATCGCCGAAGCCTTGCTGAAACTCTACCAGAAGAAGAAGCTGTTCCCCTCCGGCATGGAGCCCTCCAACCCTTTGGCCCAGAAATGGGCGATCAAGGTTGGTACTGCAGCCCGCAAGCTAGCAACTGAACTGTATTACTTGATCTTGGCTTGCATGTTGACCTTTGCATGGCATGCTCAAAGCGTTTGGCACAAAGCACAGTGACGGGTCCCTGACCCAGCCCGCGCTCAAAGAGCGCAAGAGTGCTTCGAAGTTGTCTTGGACTAGGACTTCACTTGCGCAGTCCCGCCCCTGCCCTAGGCATAGTGGCATCGCAGATCCTCTTCACAGCTTTCACGGTTTGGTGTCTTAGCTGGTGTCCCCTTCCCGTAAGTTTTTTCCCAGATTTTCTACGCGCGCTATGGCCGACGCCGCCATGGCAAAGAAAGAGGAGCAGGAGTCTCAGGACGCTCCAGCGCTGGAGACTACGGAGGTGCCCGGCGCACCAAGCGTGCCGGCACCGGCTGGACCTGTGTTGCCGCAGCTGGCGCCACGCCCCAGTGGCGAAGAGATTGCCCAAGAAGAGCTGGCACAGTTCAGGGAATGGCAAAAGCAACGGGCGGAGGCCAAAGCAAAAGCCTCGCCAGCCTCCCCGCCAAAGAAGCAGAGGCCTTACGATGAAGAAGACATGGCAGAGTTTGAGGTGAAACTTGTGGACCTCGACATCAATTTTGCGGACCTGGACCCGGAACTGCAGAACAAACTTAGGAGCAGCAAGAGCTCGCGACGAGATTTTCTGGCAATCCACACCACGGACAGGCTCTACAATCCTTCAGATGGCACGTGGTCGGAACAGACCACCACAAAGAAGCGAGACTTTGGAAGTATTACGGAAAGATCCATGCCGAACCTGACGGCCGAGGACAACGTGCAGCAAGCTATGCTGCAGTACCACCAGAAGAGCATTCTCCCCGTCCTGGATCAACTATACAAATGTGCTGCGACCAGTTCTACAAGATGGCACAACATGAGTTTGCGATGACGCAATATACTCTGGATCGGCACTCTAGCCAGCTGCAAGTGCTGGAGCGTGCCAGGGCCAACAAAACTGTACTGTTGCTGGATTTACCTACTATTTTCAACAAGAAGACTCTGGATGCAAATGTTGGGTATTATCTGCAAGCCACCGGCCTCAACTGGGACCAGGTGGCAGCGATGCACAACCATATGGTTTCTTCCTCCACTTCATTGGTTCGCCTGGAATTTATTACAGAACAACAAGCTGCCCAGTTCAGGGATCAGATGAGGCAGGGGCGCCGCTACTGGCGCGACCCCCAGCAACAGGACCACAAGATCAGGATAGAACAGGACCAGCCACTGGAAGACAGATTGGCAATGCAACCATATTATGCTTTGTTGGACGTCCTCGCCGAGCTCTACGTGGAAGAATCTGGAGACGACACACATGCCTCACTACAGACCTGGAGGCAGACACTGCAGATATGGACCCCGAAAGGGGTAGAACCCAAGCAGCTTATCGGGCAAGTCAGCTATGTGCTTGACCCTCGCTTTGCGCGCCGCTATTCCTGCTTGCTTTTGGTGCACGACCGCTTCTACGACTCCACCTTGAACAGATGGCATGCACAATTCTCGAGGAGACTTCGGGAAACCCTATTTCTGGCACAGGCGCTCAAGCGCGCAACTTCAGATCGTACAACTGTACAAAGAGCATCCTACGACAAGGCCTTCGACCTCACCACCGCCTCCCACGCCCAGGCTTTTCCTTATACAGTGATGCCGGTACGCATTTCGGACGATCTAGCCTCTATGCTTGAGTCTCACCCCATGTTGCCTTTTCAAGGCGCCGGCGGCATGACCGCCTTGACGGCCCAGGCTTTCTTAGATCAGGGTTTTGAGGATTACGGCAAAGGGTCCCCTAGGGCAAAGGGAGCTGTCTGATTATACCTCCTACCAGAAGCCCAAAGACAAAGGACAGGCCAAGGGCCAATGGAAGGAACGAGATCACGATGCCAGAACCAACTGGAAGAAAGACGACGACCAGGACAACAATGATAGTTGGGGCTCTTGGGGTGCAGGTTCCTGGGCCCCCTCTCGAACACCTAAAGGCCCCCTATTCGGTGGATCGGGCAAAGGCTCCCAACAGCAACAGCCCAACAACCAAAAAGGCAAAGGCCATAGCCACATTCAGCCGGTTTTTATCTGTGAGCAATGCTCCTGCGCCCTGGGTTTTTGCATCGATTGCCCTAAGTGCAAGGATCACCCTGTTCCCCCTGGTTTTATGTGGAAAGACACTGCTCCCTGGAAGACCCTCATATGCCCATGCACCAGAAAATTGCCAATTCCGAGTCAAAGACTCGGGGCATATATCCCGCTCGCAAGCATTTGCGCAAGGAATACGCCAGGGATGCCCCTTATCTCCGTATTTATTCGTAATCACTCTTTCAGTGCTTTTCCACGATACGTGTGTCGCATACGTGACGGAATATGGTCCTCGACCCTCGGTACTCACCACCGACTTCCGCCTTACGGACATCGAATATGCGGACGACACGGTTCTATTATCACGCACAAGACTCTCACTGCACCGATTCCTACATACACTACAGGCTCACTCCTATAAAAGAGGTATGTTCTTGAATCATGAGAAGTGCCAGCTTCTCTGCATCAACACCGACTTACCCGTATATCTCACGGATGCCATTGCGCACCCCTGTCAGTGCGATTTTTGCTGCATGCGCAGCAACCCGCAGCTACCCTCGGAACTCAGAATTGACCCTAAACCCCATGCCGATTACTTAGGTGTTGTCCTTACTTATAACTCGGCCGCGAAAGCGGACGCCAAAAAGCGTTACACGCAGGCCTCTCATGCGGCCAAATGCTTACACGACTTTTTTCGACATCCATCCATTACCATTAAGCGAAAGCTGCTAGTTCATTCCCAGATTGTGTTGGCCATCCTTCTGTATGGCTCGGAATCACAGATGTACCTACAATCCGACCTCACCAAACTGAACAAGCTGCACTACCAGGTCCTTAGACAAATTTTCAACATCAAAAGCTCCTTTTATCATAAAATATTAGAACCATCGGAGGCAGATTGTTCCAATGAATACCTCTCCCAGCTTGCTTACGAATACGCGCCGAGACTTTTATCGCCATCACAGAATATTATCTCGTCCCGGATTTCTTATTTAGGTCACATTCTCAGACACGAAGATTCCATCGAACACATTTCCACGTACCAAGCTGCACACGCCTATAGACGCCTCCATAAGAAACGCCTCGGATACACTGGGCAGAGCTCACCATGACTCAGGCGTACCAGCGCCATCAGATACTTTCCACGAATTCCCCTATACCCCGTCCCCACCAAATACACCATGATATTTATCACCATCCTACGGAAAGAGAGGTGGCTGCTGCACATTCCCGATTTTTTGGTAACACTGACCTTTGGAGGACCCTACAGCCGCTAGCTCAAAACCGTAAAGCCTGGGCTCAGTTAGAAGTTTTACGTTAATCAGCTGAAAGGGCTGCTGACGAGTAGTCTCACTTGTGGACTTGCTCTGCGCGACTGAGAGAGAGAGAGAGAGAGAGAGAGAGAGAGAGAGAGAGAGAGAGAGAGAGAGAGAGAGAGAGAGATGGCATGCTCTGCAGTGTTTCGTGTGCATGTGTGTGGGTCTGTGTATGTAGCTGTGTCGGTTGCAAGGCCAGCACTCCGAGAATCCTCATGCGACGTGCAGATTCCAGCCATTGCTCAGAGATCTGGGCCCTTAAAAAGGAGTGCGAAGAGTTTTGGTGGAAACGAGAGGAGCTGCCAGCATGTTCCTTGTGCTGCGGCTCATTGATTTAGTGTTATTCCGCTTGTAAATTTTCGCAGGATCTCTCAGATGGTGGAGACTCCCAGGAATCCTCATCGTCCTCGGGTGCCTTGGAGGACCTCATGAAGCTGACCCAGCAGAAGCCGGTTGAGGCCGAAACCAAGGTTTCGCAGGATCGTTTGAAGTTCATGAAGGAGAAGAAGGCTGAGGGTTACAGTATGGAAAAAATCAATCGTGCTTGGACCAAGAAGCTGAGGGATGAGGAGGATCATGAAGCAGTTCAGGATGAGCTGTTCTACCCTTCCTCCCAGTACAAGCCGAAGAAGAAGAAGGGCTCGAAGAAGGACTCGAGAACCCGAAGAACTCAAAGAAGAAGCCCGAAGAGAAAAAAAAGAAGACCAGCAAAGCAAAGCCACCGGTTGAATCGTCCACGTATCAACCTGGAACCTTTAAAGATGCTCGCAATGCTTTTATGCAGAAGAAGAGAGCCAAAGGTTTCACGCACCTCGAGGCCTGTAAGGCATGGATGCTGTCCAATCGTCGAGCTAACATGCTCTCGGACCTCCCGGAGAACGAGCTTAAGAGGCGCAGATTCGCCTGATTCGTGTTTTTTTCGGGCTCCATGAAGCAAGCTTCAGGTTATATGAGCTTGAGTGATTTGAGATGGGTGCTGGCTGTTCTCCACGGAATGCTGGGACTCTGGCATAAGGCCAGTTCTGGGCTTTTGTATCATAGCACTGCCTGGCTGGGGGCACGGCTGGGTATCGCTGGCTATGCGATTGTAGTTCCTGTGTCCACGGGGTTTGGATGAATCTTCGCACAAGAAAAAATGGTCCACTTGGCATGGCATGACTTGTACCATGAACTGTGCTTGCAAGCGCCGATTCTGTGAGTTGGGCACACATGTGTGATTGCATGCATGGTGCAGGGCAGGAGCTTTCAACTCTAAACCTCCTCGCATTCCCAAACCCTCGGGCCCTTAAACCCTACAACTTATAGCCAGTACCCCAGAATCCCAATCCGAGTAGCTTCTTGCTTCGACTACGACGTCGAGGATGAAGGACTGCATTCGTGGGGCACTAGATCTGTTCAGATTTCGAGCGGTTTTGCAGAGGACATCGGAGCACTGCAGGAAGGCCGCTGTCGTGGTAGAGTCGCTAGAGTTTGGAATAGGATAGTTAAGTTTCATCCAGCCAGGTACTTGGATCGACCCGAGCTGGTTTGGTGGGTCCGGCTCTCATTGCATCCGTTCTTGGTATCGAAGCCTGAGCATTGGTGCATGGCTTGGCATGCATGTTGTCGGCATGATGAAGTTTGGCTGGCGAGCTTTGTGTTGGTCGATGCATGTTGGCATGAACTTGTTAGCACTTTGCAGCTGGGTATATAAATATTGCCATGATATGAGCAATCATTATTGAAGCATGAACATGTTCAGCTCATGTCAACTTGCACCATGCCATGCCATCACTTTTTGCCTGGTTTGTGTTCGAGGGGTCGAGGGGCTACTTTTCGGGTTTAGATCACTATACTAACTATGAATAGTCGATTCGAGGACACAACCTATGAACCCTAAACCCTTATAAGGGTTTAGGTATAATGTCCGAGTTTAAGCGCCGAGACCCCTAGATATAGCACAGCCATGCCGTCCGAAGGGCATGATGCCGATCGGCCTAGCCACCTGCGGTTCCCTCCACCGCCTAAGCTTTCGTCGACCAGACCTTCGACAGCGATCCTGCCACCGCGGCCCCCGCCAGTGCCGGTGCTCGACTTGGCATCGATCCCGAAACCTCCGCCGGTGCCTCCTCGACGTCCCCTTATGGTACCGCCTCCTGCTAGGCCTCTAGCCCCTGCAGACTTTAAGGCCAGGCCGCCAAAACTTCGCATGAGCATGAGTTGCCTTGCTTGATTTCTTGTGTTTGCAGGTGGCAGCTACAGAGAAAGCTGCAGCTGCCGTGCACATGGAGCCGAAGGCTGTGCATGTGTCTTTTACATAAATCACCAATACCTTAAATAGACAGCGACAACCCAAACCTGATATGGTATTGGCATGCTTGGGCTTGGATTGGTATTGAGCTTGCTAGGCAGATGGTGTGCCTGTCGTGGTTCTGCCGAAGCCTGCAGATCTCGTGAATCCCGAGCCGGAGGCTGTGTGTTTTTGCATAAACACCATGCACCCTAAAATAAACCGCCACCCGAAATAACCCAATGATTGTCTTGACCTCCTTGGATTGGATTGATATATTGAGCAGGCACTGCCGAAGCTTGCACCGAAGACTCCGCCGATGCCTCCGCCGATCCACTTATATGGCTTTGGGCCATTTGGGGACCAGGCACCGAAGACGCCTCCGTTTCCTCCAATGCCTCCGCCTGCAAGGCCTCCGGCTGCAACTGAGCCCGAGCTCGATGCTGCAAGCTCTGTGGAGTCCTCGTCGTCAGAGGCAGACCACATGTATCTAGAGGTATTCAGGGTTTAGGGTTTATAGGGTTTGGGGTTTATAGGATTTAGGGTTTCTAGGGATATATATATATATATCAATATATTAGCTCCTTAACTTGCAGTTGTCGTGTTTTGCCTTGGCTTGATCTGTTGCAGGCCGCTGCATGTGCCGCCGATGAATATGAGGATTTGCTCCCTGGGGCCGTGGCCAAAGCCTGCATGCCCTCGAGCCCAGAGGAAAGCCTAGAGGCAACTCCAGCGGCAGGTGAGCAGAGCGAGAGCGAAGCCTCGATCACCTCGAGTACGCTGAGATGGCAGTTTCAGCAGATGAGGCAGCAGATCGAGAACGAGGAGCAGGCTGTGCAGGCCGAGAAGGCTCGATCACGATCGAGATCGGGGCGATCGAGATCGAGATCGAGGCGATCGAGATCAAGGCGATCGAGATCAAGGCGATCGAGATCAAGGCGATCGAGATCGAGGCGATCGAGATCGAGGCGGCGATCGAGATCAAGGCGCCGATCGAGATCAAGGCGCCGATCGAGATCGAGGCGGTCCCGATCGAGATCGAGGCGGTCCCGGAGGCGATCGAGATCGAGGCGGTCCCGCAGGCGATCTCGATCGAGGAGGAGGAGGGACAGTAGGTCTTAGGAGTGCGGGATTGGGGCTCCTGGGCTATAATATCTATAGATATAATATATGCTCTCCCATTGCATGTGTGTGTGTGTGTGCTTCGGGCTGATGGGCCGGCCGGGTCGTATGTTAATAAAAAAGCAAAGCTAGAGCTATAGTGCAAACCATGCAATCGCTCGCATGCACACCAATGGAGCCACATGATCCTGCACTTCAGATTTTGATCTGTGGCTGGATCGGCCAAACCTGTACAGGTACGTATCAGAGCCGTGTACACTATAGTGCAAGTCAATTGAAAAAGATTGGTCCGTTGCCATGCTTGCACATGATTGATTGTGTTGCAGATTGTCTTGCATGCATGGTTTGTTCTTGCTTTGCATGGATTGGATCGCTTGCCCAGGTCGATGCGAGCTGGTCGTGGTGAGGATCTCAGCGAAGAGGGATATTGGGTTGTGGTTGGGATTGGGACCCCTAACCCTGAACCCTAAACCTTGAACCCTGTAAACCCTGAACCCTGAACCCTAAACCTTGAACCCTATAAACCCTGAACCCTGAACCCTAAACCCTGAACCCTCAACCTCGCTTTGGGAGCCGCATGCCATGCCATGCCTCGGTATGTTTATACCTACATAGTAGCAATAGATAAAAATCTGTATAATAGAGAAGACCTATTAAGATAGAGTCGATCTATAGTTTATAAGTATATATAATCAGTTCGGGCTTTATAATTGCCTTAAATAAGAACACCCGCCCAGGTCGAAGCCGGTATGGTCTTGCTTCATATCGTGTTGTGCATGCCATGAATGTTTGGATGCATGCTTGTTTGCTTTGATCCCAGGTGATATCATCATGTGCAAGCTGATCAATTGGTGGTGCAGGGGCCTGACCCTAGATAGCGATGCCGCAGCTAGCTTTCTTTAGCCCCCCGCATTCCCCGCAGTACGCACCGTAAATTCCCCGAACCCGCCCCGATACAAATGCCCTGCAAATTCATTCAAATGCACCGTAAATTCATACAAATGCCCTGCAAATTCATACAAATGGCCCTTTCTGGGTAATGCGCAGGAATGCACCATACGCTCTTCATTTTCCCGTACAATGGCCTAGTATCCCACATTATCTGAGTAGTGCGCCAGAATATATTGGATTGTCCATTATCCTCTCTATATTGTATGAGCCACTACACTAAATTATAACTATAAACTATATACAATAGAAACCCTATAGCCCTTAAACCTTAATAACCCTAATATCGGTCTGCATCGAGTACAAAAGCCACGTGCTGCTTGCATTGCATGTCATGCATGAACCATGGCTTGAGCTTGGCATGTCTTGCTGTGGCATGTACGTTGCTGTGTATAGGTTTTTGGCTGCAGGCTTTTTTAAGTCGCTAGGTCGTAGCCCATCATGGAGAAAGAAATCAAAGCCTTAATGAAGACAGCAAAGCTGTCCTATGAGGAGGCTAAGTTTTGCCTCGAGCCGCCAAAGAAGGAGCCTCTAGACACGAATTGTACAGAGCCGCATGTACACTGAATTGATCGGTATAATTGCCACCTAGGCCGAAGCTGTGGAAAGGTGCTTCGAAGCTGACACCTCCTAGGAGGGTCCGAGAAAAGTCAACCCCGGCGGGGAGCTCGGGGATCAAGCGATCTGCTGTAGATCGTGACGGTGCATGGGTATACGAAGGGCATGTTCATGAGAATCAAAAGAAGAAGAACAAGAAGCAAAAGCAACCCAAGGAGGAGGAGGAAGAGGAGGAGCATGATGCAGTGCCAGCAACAAGCAGCAAAAAGACCAAGAAGGAAAAGAAGGCGAAAGCCAAGGAAAATAAGGCTGCAAAGGTTTCCATTGATCAAATGGACACCCAGGAGTGGGATGCCGAGGATACGGGGCCAGGGGCACAGGATCTGGCACAGGATCTCGAATGGGATGATGAGGTGCAGGCCGAGTGGGAGACATGGCGAGAGGAATGCAGGCTCATCAAGATCAGTCAGCAGGAGGAAGAGCAAGGCATCGATGGAGAGGCTTGGGATCCGGAGGACTTCATTCCTGAGAGCGACTGGTATCATATGGTGGTACCTTCAAGTAAGTTGCCACTGTGGGGAGGGTTGAGAAGTGATTATGAGTCTTCGCACTCGTCTGATCAGCTCGAGGAGGTGCCGGACGCCGAAGATCCCGTACCGTCAACCGCGAAGGAGGTGCCGGAGAAAGTCGCCGAAGATCCCGTACCGTCAACCGCGATGGTCCTGCATGAAAAGAAGGAGGAGAAGATCACTTCGGCCACGCACCGCTCAAGCTGGAACAAGCTGGCGAAGCTTGCGGAGAGCGGCGATGGTGTGGTCGTCTACTGGCGATAGAAAGAAAAAGAACGAGCTACTTCAGAAGTATGTGCTCTCCAAAGACCCCAGCCAAGTCGAAAGCGAGCTGCAAGTCACGAGTACCCAAGGCACTGGTAGCAGAAAGGTCAGGGTGTGCTTGACCCTCCGCCAGATGAGAAAGAAGCCGTACTTCTTCCCCAAGGAGAAGTGTGAGTGGATCGCACAGAACAGAAAAGGCATCGAGGACGAAGACTTTCCAGGTGGTCCACTAAAGTATTGGGTCAATGTCATGATGGAAGCCGAAGACTACAAGAAGAACCAGCCCCTACAGCACGCATGGAGTTTGACATGTGAGTTGACATGTGTGTGAATTATGTCCCCTAAACCCTAAGCCTCCTGAAAAGATCGTGACTTCCATAGGTCTTTTGGCGAACATTCCCCAATAACCCTAAACCATAAAAAGATCATCAATTCCATATGGTTTTTGGTATGTTCCCCACCATGCATGGTCGAGGTCCGAAGTCCGATCCCGCTCCAATATGGACGTTCAGGAGGCGATGCAGGTTCACCTCGCGAACAAGCCTGCTTTTGGCAAGAAGTCTGATCGCACAGAGACGGTCGATGATGACGATGACAGCGACGAAGAGCAGAAGCCCAAGCCGAAGCCCAATCGCGGGAAGAACAAGCCCTCGTCTACCCCCCAGCTGGCCTTGCCAGACAAGCCCTCGAATAAGCCCGGCGGTAAGAAGGCAAAGGTCAAGAAGATCAGTGTGTGGGATACCCCATGGGCCACCAAAGAAGAAAGAAAAGAGAAGTGGAGTTCATGGCCTAGTGTTTGGGAGATTGCATGGTAGGATGGTTGTAGAGTTTTAAAAGCAACTTTTCGGGTCCCAGGCTTGCTATAATTAAGTTCAGGCAGCGAGCTCCGCAAGGAGTTGATCAGCGCCGAAGGCATCCGCCAAGATGCTCCCGAAAGGATTGAGCCAGGTGTCAAGGACTTTTGTTTGTTGCTTTGGCTTGCTTGCATATGTATGTTTGTGGCATGGCATGGCATGGATCTTGATAAACCCGCTTTGACCCCACGCTTGAAACCTTAAGCCTTCCGCCTTAAGATCGTGTCCAGGATGCTTTCGAGAAAGCCACAGCAGACATGCGGTCCGCATTCCAGAAGTCGCTTGTGCATATGTACGATAGATATATAGCATATAGGAACGAGAGAGCCTCATGCACCGAGACTTAATTACATATGTAAGGCTGAAGCGAACACCTCTCGACGACATCGACAGCATTCGCGACGATTGCATTGAGGCGGTCGTTCAGTTCAACATTGCACGAGGAAGCATGCGAGGAGCCATCACGGCCATGAAAAAGCAGTCCTGATCGATCGGCGAACCACTAGCAAGAGCTAGCATCCTGAAATTTTGACTTTTGCTTAGTTGTGGTGCACCGCACCGCTGCTGCGAATCGCGAACCGCAAAAAAGATCTTCAATCCCATATGTCCTTTGCCGTAAAAGATCGTAAGTTCCATATGGTTTTGGTACATTCCCCAAACCCAAAAACCTTAAAAATATTAGCAATTCCATATGTCTTTTGGCAAAAAAGATCGTAAGTTCCATATGGTTTTGGTTAATTCCCCAAACCCTATAACCTTAAAAAGATTAGCAATTCCATATATATTAATTCCCTTAGACCTTAAAAAGCTTCAGAAATTCCTTTCAAGCCCACAGGTGCTTGTTCGGACCATGTCAGTGATGCTGACAAAACGGCCAAGAAGTCCCACGCCCGGATGAGTATCGATCCATCTTTGTTGTATCTATTGGCATGCTTTGCTGCTAGGCTGCTTCAACAGGTTGCAGCCGGAAGATCCACGCTGACGGCTTCTGCAGAAGTCTTGGCCCACTTGGATTCGGATCTTTTGGGGTTTCTTGGTGGGGAACTTGCCATGGCATGTACGTTTAAATTGTCTTGATGCATGGATGGTTAAACATGTGCTTGATTTGCCTAGGGGGATTTCCGTCGAGACCTCTTCGAGATGATGAGCTTTTCGCAAAAGCCAAAAAGGCGAAGATGGCGATCCCCTGCTTGGCTCAGTATGTCGTCACGCCTGTGCATGTGCATGCTGGGCAGATCGAGTACCAGCCCTGGCCATATATAAGTCCGATAGAGTGGTTGGAAAAGTTGATGGTGGACCATCGAGATGCCTTAGTACCAAGCCCCAGTGAGATAAAGGATTTCTGGAAAACGTGGCTCAAAGACCACCCCCTCGACGAATTCCACGACGACAGCTGGCCGCTGGAGAGAATTATACCGCTACAATTGTGGGGGGATGAGGGTACCCTGAGGTCTAACTCTTGGCTCCTGGTGACTTTGCAATCAGCCCTTGGCCCTCCTGATGTGCGAAGTCTGTCGCAGGCGAGCAGGTACCCTCTTTTCTCTTTCCCCGTGGAAGGTTATGTGAAAGATCCCGACACCAATGTCAACATGTCGCTGGACATGTTGTTGGAAAAAATTTCCTCGGACTTCAACAAGCTGCTTAGCGAGGGCTTCACAACGAAGCATGGACATTTTTTTGCCAGGCTAGTAACGCTGAAGGGCGACTGGAAATGGCTAGTGCAGGCACTGAACCTGGTTAGATCGCCGAGCTCCGACATGATATGCCCATTTTGTCATGCCGGGAAAACGCACATGCTCTTCACGAATGTCCGAGAGGATGCCCCGTGGGCAAACACACTTTTCTCTTCTGCACCTTGGCAGGTGTTCCCTAGTATAATGCGGATCAAGTATTTTCGCCTGGAGATGGTTGTCTTCGACCTGATGCACGTTTGGCATTTGGGGTGTGGCAGAGATATCGCCGGCACGTGCATTAAGGAGCTCACGAAAGCCAAAATTTTTGTTGGTAGCAAGATCGGTGAGAGGCTCCAATCGGCATATCAATCCTTGAGATCCTGGGCTCGAGAACACAACAAAACATTGGCCATCAAAAGGTTTACGAAGGAGAATGTGCATTGGTACAGCGATGCCTGCCCCGAGC